ACACACACACACACACACACAATACTTTTTTTGTAAAAAGGAATTTTCCAGAGCCACACCTGTTAGTGCCTCAACCCTGAGTGGTTCCTCTACCCCCACAGGGCGTGAAGGAGTTCAAGTGTGAGGTATGTGGCCGAGAGTTCACCCTGCAGGCCAACATGAAGCGCCACATGCTGATCCACACCAGCGTCCGGCCCTACCAGTGCCACATCTGCTTCAAGACCTTCGTGCAGAAGCAGACGCTCAAGACTCACATGATTGTGCACTCGCCCGTGAAGCCATTCAAGTGCAAGGTAGGGGGCTGTCCCCACGGCCAGCGTGGCGGCTAGTGCTGGCCCGGGCTTGGAGGGGGTGGGGAGAGCAGCTGGGGAGCAGAGCCAGAAGCTGTTGAAGCCGTGCTTCTGAACTGAGAGGGGGTGGAGGTTGTGGCCTGGTCAGGACCCTGTAGTAAGATGTGAGCCACAGTTCCTGCCTCCCCCAGCTCAGAGCAGGCAGGAGATGCAAGGAGCAGGGACCGGCAGGAAGGCTGTCCTTGGCCTCCCTCCGTGGTCACACAGGAAAGACGGTGTGCTGTGTGTAGTGGGGTGAGGGTGACTCGGCTCAGGAAGTGGGAATGGATTGGCCAGGACTGCAGGCTCCCTACAGCCCTCTGCTGCCCTCCCCTTCCAGGTGTGTGGGAAGTCCTTCAACCGCATGTACAACCTGCTGGGCCACATGCACCTGCACGCGGGCAGCAAGCCGTTCAAGTGCCCGTACTGCTCCAGCAAGTTCAACCTCAAGGGAAACCTGAGCCGGCACATGAAGGTCAAGCACGGCGTCATGGACATCAGCCTGGACAGCCAAGGTGGGTGGGCTGTGCGCAGTGGACAGAGCAGGAATGACAGCGGCATGGCGCACTCAGGCGTCTCCTGTCCCATCAGGGGCGTAGGGAGGCTGGCCAAGGCCGATACCACCCTGAGGTGGGCTCAGGTCTGGAGAGAGGGGGAGCCCGGGGAGCCATCGTGGCAATAACGGGGGTATTTATGTCGTCTTCCAAGGACTTCCATGGGCTCACTAAAACAATAATAAAAACAATAACTGACACATATTGAGTGCTGTGTAACTCATGTGACCCGCACAGGGAGGCTGCTGGCTCTGGGATCACTCCTACAGCAGAAATTGCAGGACAGAGAGATCAGGCAACTCAGTTGCAACACACAAGAGCTGTAGACATGCCGTCTCTCCCATCTTTATGACGAGACACCGTGATAAGTTCAAATAAGTGAACGGGGAAGTCATGAGAGGGGAAAATGCGAGGCCACGCCTCCAAGTGCTCGTGGAAGTTCTCAGACATTCAGAGAGGTTAGGACAATCAACCAGCCATGGTGCCTGCTGGACAGAAGGAAAGTCACATGTTCAGGAGAGGGATAGGTGGTCCTGCCTTTAAGCTTCACGAGAGAGAAGTATAAAATAAATAAGTAAAAATGTAGGAAAAAGAATTAAAACAGAACCCAAGATCCAAGAGAGCTAGGTGTGATGTGATGCACACTTGCTAATTCTAACACCCAGGAAACTGAGGCAGTTAGACTATGGTTCAAGGACAGCATGGGGCCACACAGTGAGACCCCGAATCAGATAATAATACTAATTTACAGAATTTCCAGAGGGGCTAGGTATATATACCTGTAGTATAGGTGCATATACCTGTAGTATAAGCACTTGGGATACTGAAGCAGGAGGATTACCACAAATTTGAGGTCAAGCCAGGCTACATAATGAGACCCTGTCTCTCAAAAAACCTGCAAACAGAAAGGAAAGGAAATTTCCAGAGGACCCTATATCTCGGCAACTGGTAGAACACTCCAGCTGTTATGAGACATGCCCACTTCTGTCCTCAGCAGAGCTGACCGTTGGTCTGCAGCTCCATTGTGGGGAGGTGGCTTCAGGTTGTACAGGCCCGAGGCTGCTGAAGGTGCATCCCAGATGCTCCTGCCAGCGACGGTGCCTTGGCAACAGCCAGAGTTGACTAGCCACACTCAGTTGTTCACTATAAATGATGAGTGACTTTGGTTTTGGAACATCTGGCCAGTAAATGGCCTGGAGTTTCTGGCAAAGCCAGTGACACTGTGGCTTATTGTAGATAGTTTTTCCATAGTTTGACCAGGCTGTGTTGGTAGGTAAGAAGGAACCCTGCAGCCTGCATCTGGATGCTCCCTGTAGCCCCTGGATACACATTGTCCTGCTGAGTGGGAGTCTGCATTACCAAAGATTCTCTGTTCTTTGCCTAATGTACCTCCTCAGAATCTCCCCAGAACTGGCTTAAACTGCTGGGCTCCCAGCAGTTTCTGGGATGGGGTGAGGGGATTGCATTTCAGATAGGCTCTTTGAATGCCTTTGATACAGACCTTACAGGATGAGGTCTCAAATTGGCTGCCTATGGGAGTCACTTGAGGATTTTCTTGAACGTTTACTTTTATGTTGATGGGTGTTTTGACTCCGCGTGTGTCTGTGTACCATGTGTTTGCCTAGTGGAGGACAGAAGAGGCTGTCAAGTTGATGGGAACTGCGGTTACATTTGTGAGCCACCAATGGGTGCTGGCAGTCAGACCCCGGGCCTCTGGAAGAGTAGTGCTAAACCTGGAGCCATCTCCAGCACATGTGAAGAGTGTTTTCAGTGCTGATGGCTGAGTCTGGACCCCAGAGGGGCTGGGCTGGGGTTTGAACTGTTCCCTGTGCACACATTTGTGAGCTTTACTACGGTGAATTTCCCCTGTAGCTGCTCACCAGCAGAGGCCAAGTCAGCCTTGCTCTTTTGCAAATGATAGAGCCATCAAGTCTGGTTCTCCGGGATGAGAGGAACAATCTCTTTCCTCATTTCCAGGAATGCTTAGCGTGGGTCCCTCCTCGGCTGTACCAGATAAGTGAAGTGGCCAATGGTCCTAGGTGGCCTATATACCCACACTCTTCTATCTAAGTGAAGCCACCTCATAGCCGTGGTTGTAATTTAGGGAGGTGAGTCAATCAATGTGCATGCAAACCCTGATGAGGCCGGTGTACGCCTATAATCCCAGCACTTGGGACACAGGCAGGGAGTTCAACACAGCTCTCCACTATAGAATTCAAGGCCGGTTGGAGATGATAAAGTCGGGAGGTGGAAGTTTGGCTTGTTTTAATAGCCAGTGGCATGGTGAACAAGCTCGGCTTGGCTTGCCGGACACCTGACCTCGTGTGACAAGGTCAGAGGGTTCTGTGTGTTGGAGGCAGCCACCCAGCAACTTGAAGGGGTTGGAGGTAGCCCAGCTGGCAGAATGCTTGATTCGCATGCACAAGGTCCGGGGTTTGCCCAGCGACCATAAGCCAGGTGCGGGGCTGCACCGCCGATCTCAGCGTGCTGGAGGTGGAGTCAGGAGGACCAAAAGTTCAAGGGCATCTCTGACTGTATAATGAGCTTGAGGACAGTTTGGGCTACGTGAGATTTAGTTAAACACGAAAGAAAGCTGTGCGTGGTGGAGAAGATCTTTAATCCCAGCGCTGGGGAGGTAGAAATGGGCAGCTCTTTGAATTCAAGGCCAGCCTGGTTTACATAGTAAATTCCAAGAGAGACAGCAAGCACTATATAAAGAATCCTTATCTCCAAAAGAAAAAAGAAAAAAAAAGAGGCAGAGAGGATGGAAAGTCCAGGCCATTTTTAAAGGTGGGTGGGTCAACACCTCAACAGTGACATCAGGGTTAGGTTACCTCTATGGGATCCCACAGCATTAACGTTTTCTCCTGGACTCAGACCACCACCAGAACTCATCCAGGAAAAGAATGAAAGCACTCCCCTTCTTTAGAACCAATAGATTGTCAATAGGCCATGTCCTCCTGACCCAGTGGTCAGATTTAGGTCGCGTGCCAGTTCCTGAGCTACTCCTTGACTGATGGGTGTGTGTGTGTGTGTGTGTGTGTGTGTGTGTGTGTGTGTGTGTGTGTGTATTTGACCTCCCAGGTGACATTTGGATGTCATATCTGGGAAGATGCTACTGGCGTCAGATGGGTGGGGTGCAGGAGACTACAATGTCCCACAGTAGGACAGGTGGCCCCACCACAAAGCATCGTAGCCCCAGATGTAGGTAATGTTAGGAAGCCCACCTTGGACCTATCAGGGTGAGTCCTGGGCTAGGTCTGTTTCCCCTAAAACACCAAATTTCTTCAGTGGTCAGGGGCAGAACCCCCTTAGCTGGTGAGCCTGAGTCGCTGCCAGCCAGTCTCTCGGGGCTGCCGTTCATAACCAATCCATACCTCAGGAGGACGCTGGCCTTGCTGCAACAGCAAGCTTTATAGTAAGATTTCAGTGTGACACAAGGTACCTCTCAGACATTCTCCTGCCCCAGAGGTGCTTTGACAACCTACCTTGGCTGGGAGCTGATCAGCCTTCGGATCTGCAAACTGAGGCTGCAGGCTGATGTTGGATGAGATCAACCCCAGGAAGTACTAGGCATACAGTGGATACTAAATGAGTCACATAGGACGGGGGACCAATGACAGACACTGCTGAGGATGACCCAAGAGGGCTCAGTGACCTAGCAGGGGCAAGGGAACATGACCCAGAAAGCCAAGGCCAGGCCAAGGATTTGTTCCGCCCAAGGCCCTTGTACACCCAGCAGTAGGGTCCAGAAAAGCCTGGATCCAAAGACTGCGAAAACAATGGCTGGCCTTTAGGGTCCCCCACTTCCCGAAGGACACTGGGGACGGCCAAGTGTTTAGGCCTAACTGTGCCCCTCTCTTGTAGACCCCATGATGGAGCTGGCAGGCCCCGACCCCTCTGAACTTGACAGCCGGCAGGAGATGGAGGACTTCGAGGAAAACGCCTTTACCTACACCAGTGTGGACAGCAGCACAGAGGCCAGCACCCTCACTGAGCAGGCCATGAAAGAGATGGCCTACTACAACGTGCTATAGCAGGGCCAGCCGAGTGGGCGGGGAGGGCAGGGGGAGACCCACGTCCCGAGGGCTGCGCCTCTGCAGCCCAGAACCAAGCTACTGCCCGCTGCCCAGCCCCCCCTCCCCACCCCCACCCCCCAAGTTATTTGCACCACTAGGGATCTTTAGACCAAATGGAGACTGTACTACTGTCCTTACAGGGAGCTGGGCGCAGGCCTAGCCATCCCAGTGAGGGAAAGGTAACCAGGAGGCCCGATCTGGTTCTCCTTGGCCTGCTGCTGTGGGTGGGCAGGGAAATGCTAGAGAAGTCTCTTACAGGCACAGGGGCACAGACTTAAGAGGTCTTCTCCCACGCCACCTCAGGCCCATAGAGAGGGCTTCTTGAAGAAGAGAATGCTCGAGCCGGGTCTTGTCTCTTTTCTGCACCTACTCTGAGCTCCTGCACGGGTCAGCACTGCCTACCCCCACCCCCACCCTGCTCAGACCCAAGAACCTCTTCCCTTCCCGTCATTCAACAGCCAGGCAGGGCACTCTGCCTTCTACCTCCTGGGCCTCCCCTTGCCCCGGTCAGACACACGCGAGCGGCCCTGGGCCTGGCCCTGCCTGTCGGAGAGCCGGGGAGCCCAGCCTCCAGAACATCTTCCCAGCCAGCTGGCAGAGCACCCGTGCCCTCAGCCCTGTTTGAAAGAATGTCTCCAATACGCATTTCAACAAATTTCATCCAGTTCTGTCCCAAGCTAAGGTACCGCCCATAGTGTCCTCAGCAAACAAAATCAGGGCATGTCGTGTGCCTGGCACACATGAACAAGGACAGGTGGAGGCCCCATGAGCCAAGGGAAAGGGCAGACATATCCCTGGGACCAAGAGACTGTCCTAATGGGAAGCCAGGGAAGGCCACCATGAAAAGAGGGGGACTAAGAATGTTTGGGGTTTTATTTGTTTTTGTTTTTTGTTTTTATGAGCAGGCAGGTGGTGTGAGGAGTGGGTGAGCTGAGACTCAGCAGGCTCCCAGGGAAGAGCAACATATTTAAAAGGAAATTGAAGACCATAGGCGGGGCGGGGGGAATGTGTTTTGAGTAAGTGAGGATGTTTTGAAGGTAATTTATGTTTTCCTTTCCAACTCTCTCGTCTATCATCTTCACTGGAGCGATAGAGAGGCAAGCCGAAGCTTTCTTGTGTGCTCTACACTCCTGCTTCCCTACAGCAGCCAGGCATGGTGGGCTCCATTAGCTGGGAGCCTCAGAAGGCTAAGGCGGGAGGGAAGAGGAGGCAGAGAGCCGACCTGGCCCTCTCCAGCCAGTGGCTCTGTGCCACCCAGGCCGCCAAGGCTCTGACTCCATGGGGCCAGCTGCCCTCCTCACCTGTTCCCTGTATCCTCCAGGCAGTGACTAGCACATTCAGAAACTCCAGAGCACCCAACCCCCTGCCCGGAAACCCCAAGGCTCCCTAGGGTAGGAGCAGGCAGAGCAACCCTACAAAGCACGAATGAAGCCACCAGCTTTGGCTGAGAAACCGAGAGGGGGACCAGCTGGGGCAGGAGGTGCTGATTTGAAGTGCAGCTGCCCCCAAGTCTGTGTCCCCAAGCGAGACACCAAGCCAGGCCTCAGGGTGATTGTTCAGAACCGGGGGGAAGTGAACACAATGGCCCGAGTGTGGTTTCCCAAGGCTCCCGGCCTCCCAGGTGCCCATCATGATGACCCTCAGGTGGCAGTGAATAGGTGTCACTGTACAAGACATTTCTCCTGCTGAGCAGAAGGCGTCACCCCTGCAAACTACCTCTTCCCACAATGACTTTCTCCCCTGGTACCAAAAAGCACCCTGTACCTCCTCCTCTCCTGCCAACGCAGTGGCCTTGGTCTTGGAAACAGAAGGGAGAAGTCTGGCCTGGGTGGAGTCTCTCATTGCCTCCCAGTCCGCCATTGGCACAACCCTCCGAGGGGTACCATGCTCAAAAAGCCCCCTCCCCACGCCTGTGCCTGGGCAAAGCAGAGAGGAAGGTACACCACAGCGCGCAGTTGGAGCTGGGGGCGGTCCTGGCAAGGCTCCGGCCTCACCCTCCCAGCCTTCTGCAAAGAGTGACTCAGAAACCCTGGCCGGATTCCACCCTAACTTATTTTGACGTGTATACAAACCAACTGTTTAGCGAGTCCACTTGTGCAGAGCCCTACTGTGGTTTTATGTTCCTGTTCAAAAGAGAAGTTTACTTAGCAATAATTATAAATAAATGAATATTCTTTAGTGAGGTGACTGGACATGCTTCTTCCTGTTGCTCTTGGTGGCCCTTCTCTCCCAGGAAGTCCCAACAGGGCTCCCCAGTCACATACCAGACAGCATCCCTCTCTGGAAGTGCAAGACTGTCCCAGCCACCTGACCTGCCATATACTTAGGGGACACGCTCCAAGTGGCTTCCTGTCTCAGTTCCCTGAACCAAGATTACAAGTGTGTGCGCACACCTGACCTTTTCAGAGTTGTTGTTTTGTTTTGCTTTTGATTTTTGAGACAGACTCTTCAAACTCCTGGTGATCTTTCAACCTCAGCCTCCCACGTGCTGGGATTACAGGCATGCACCGCTCTACCAAATGTTCCCACTCTGAGGTTAGTTGCATCTGCAGATACGAAACCTGTGACTAGGGGCTGGGCAGTCAGTTCAGAGCACTGGCTGCTCTTCCAGAGGGTCCGAGTCCCACCCCCCACGTGGCTGCTCAGATCTGTTTGTAACTAACTCCAGTTCTAGGGGATCCAGTGTCCTCTTCTGACCTCAGCAGGCCCTGTATGCACATGGTACACAGAAATACATGCAGGGCGAAACGCCCATACACATAAAATAGTAAAATAAAAGGGTTTTAAAACCCGTGGCTAGGGCTGAGGATGAGGCTTGGTTGGTAAGAGTTCTTGCCTGCCGTACAGGAGGCCCTGGCTTTGATCCCCAGCACTGCATAAACAGTATTGTGGCACATGCCTAAAGTCCCAAGCATTCAGGAGGTAGAGACAGGAGGCTAAAGAGTTCAAGGTTATCCTCAACTACATAAGAAATCTGAGACCAGTCTAGGATATATAAGACCAATTTTTTAAAAAAGGGGTGGGGCGGGTGATGGGGGCCTGAGAATACAGCTTAGTGATCTTAGTAATAAAATGCTTGCCTAGCTAAACTCAGTTCCCAGCACCGCTAAAAAACTGCTCTGGACACAAAGAGCTGACTTTATTATTTAAAAAAAAAAAAAAAAAAAGTTACCCGGCAGGACCAACAAGCAGAAAGAGAAACCACTGCCTGAGGACGGGAGGACGGTACTTGCAATGAATGTACGTATGGCTTGGAGCAGCCTTTCAACACCTTGCTTTTTTTTTTGGGGGGGGGGGTGTGTGTGTTGGTTTTTCAAGACAGGGTTTCTCTGTGTAGCTTTGGTGCCTTTCCTGGAACTCACTCGGTAGCCCAGGCTGGCCTCGAACTCACAGAGATCCCCCTGCCTCTGCCTCCCAACTGCTGGGATTTTATAGTTGTACCAAAGCAGTGAAGATGAACCTGAGAACAGGGGACCCATATACACAGACCTCAGAAAGCCTGGGCAGCCCTGCAATAAAGGGCCTGGGAGGATCTGTTTTTAAGAGTATAACAGGGCAAATAAAGCCGAGCACGCTAGCACAGGCCTTTAATCCCAGCCCTCGGGAAGCAGAGACAGGGAGACCTTTGTGAGATCAAGACCAGCCTGGTCCATATAGTGAGTTCCCAACTAGCCAGAGCTACACAATGAGACCTCATCTCAAAGAAAAGAATAGGGCTGGGGATGCAGTGATGGAATGCTTCCTTAGTATTTACAAAACACCGAGTCTCAGCACCACAAAAGGTGCACATGTTAATAATATTTACAGTATCACAAAGGGATAATCCCTAGACGGAAGGGATCCTGCTTGGGAATCTCTGTGTGAGCCTCTGCCCCTAGGCCCCAGCTGCCTCCCGCTCAGGGACAAAGACTGCAGACAATTTTGTGAAGAATCCAGGGCCTGCCTTACCCCAAAAGTCTAGTAACTCAGGCAGCTTCTGTCTTGGGCCTCCTAGCTGACCTATTAACAGCCGGAGGCACCCCAACCCCGTCCCTGGGGCACCCTGCCAGCTGCTTCCTCCCACTCAGGGACAAACACAGCAAGACGGTTTTGCAAAGAGCCTTTTAGTAGCTAAATATGGCACCATGTGATTCAGAGCAATATAAATTACAGTATGCAAAACACACTGGCTGGCTGAGGTAAGGCACACCATTCCTGCCTCGTGTCCACGGTGAGGGGAAGCCGCTCACATACTTTAAAAAAATCTCCATCATAGAAAAAATGTCCCCTAGGAAGGCCACCAGAGAGGCTGTGAGGCTCACACCTGCCATGTATGGAACACCCACTGCAGTTAGGCCGCGTCTGCCCCTACTGCTTGCCCAGAGCTCGGTCCAGGTTGCTCTTAATGGTGTCCAGGAAGTCCGAGGTGTTCAGGAAATGTTCATTCAGCTTCACACTGCCAAGAGAACATTGGGAGCGACTCAGGCCTCCTGAAGGCCATCAACCAAGCCCTTCCCGGGCGCATCAGACCTCAGGCATCAGAATGGCCATCTCATGCCACCAGGCACAGGTCCGAGATCTCCAGCAGCCCACTGCCAGAGGGCCACAGTGAATTTAGCAGAAACTTAAGAGCGACAAGCCACTGACATAGGTCTCGGAAGAGAGAAGCTGGGAGACAGTTGGAGAAGAGATTGGAGAAACTGAGCACCTGCCCGTGGGGACCACCTCAGGAGGCGTGGCCTGAGCCATTGCTCAGGCCTTGTTCTGCCCCCAATCCTAGGCAGCTATACTGACTCATGAGAGGGCCCCCAAGTCCCTCCCCTGGCTTCCCCCGGCCTGCTGAGGTCTCAGGCCTTGTATCCCAAAGCACACACTTGCTGAGGCCATGGATGCAGCCAGCCAGGTCCTTGGTCATAGCTCCACTCTCCACGGTCTCTACACACACCTTCTCCAGAGTCTGTGCAAACCTGTGGGGAATGTGGCAGTGAGGCCCCGGGCACGCTGGGCAGAAAGAACCATGCATGGACTGCAGGCATGGGCTGCAGGCAGGCCGCTGCTCAACTTCTCCCCGTGTGCTCACCTGATGAGGTCCTGGTTCCCATCCAGCTTCCCTCGATGCTCTAGACCCCGTGTCCAGGCAAAGATGCTGGCGATGGGGTTGGTACTGGTGGGTCGCCCCTGGGGACAGGCCATGGGATCAACAGCTGAGCCCCAGAGAGAGCTTTAGACGGACAGATCAGGCGCATCCTCCCAGCCATCAGGGCCGATGGGCGTTGGATCTTGAGGTGCACACTTACCTTCTGGTGCTCTCGGTAATGGCGGGTGACGGTTCCATGGGCGGCCTCAGCCTCAATTGTCTTCCCATCAGGACAGACCAGCACAGACGTCATCAGGCCGAGGGAGCCAAAGCCTGGGGGTGGGCAGATGTCCCCTCGAGGTCATGCTTCAGCTCCAGACCCTTCATCTTAGACTGGATGCCTCCTCATCTTCTGACCCCCATTCCCAGCCCACTGCAGCTGAGAGGACCATACAGCCCTCACAGGCAGCTGTCGTCAATGTGCTAACACACCTCTGTGTGCTCCCTTCCCAGACCCCACAGCCTGGGGCTGTCCATCTTGCAGCCTCCCAGAAGGCCATTTCAAGCTGCCCTCGGCTATTTGGCGACCCTCACAGTTTCTGCTGCTGGGAGTCTGCTTTCAAACTTTATTTCCAAATGTCCCCCACATCCAGATTTCAGCTGGAATGACTGTTGTCAAGGACCCTGGGGAATCAAAAGAACTCCCCCAGACCCACAAGGAATGGGCAGGCTCAAGGAAGAAAAAGTGGGCCCTTTCCAGAAGGAAAAGATTCAGCTCAGGTTTCGTTTTTTACATTTATTTGCTTTTATTTTGTGTAGGGGACGGTGCACACGTGCCCGAGTAGAGGTCAGAGGACGGCTTGCAAGAGTCTGTTTGCTCCACATGTAGGCTCCAGAGATCGAACTCAAGCTGTCCAGCTTGGCGGAAGTGCCTTCACTCGCTGAGCCATCAAGAGCTCCTTTTCTGCCTTGTTTCATTTTTGTTTATCCTGGAATTCACTATTTAACCCAAGCTGGCCTCGAACGCACAGCGATCTGCCCACCTCAGCCTTCTGAGTGCCGAGATCACAAGTGTGAGCCCTGTGCCCAGCATCCCGCACTTCTTTCTGTATTAGAACAGCCTTGTCACACACCAGTCACAGGGACAGAGATAGGCAGATGCCCTGGACGCAGCAGCCAGCTAGTTTAAATTCTAGTTCACTGAGAAAATGGTCTCAAAAAATAAGAGAGCTCAGGGAGGTGAAGGCTCCTGTCACCAAGCCTGACAACCTGAGGTCAGCCTCTGGGACCCACGTGGTGGAAAGACAGAAGCACCTCCTGCAAGGTGTCCTCCACGAGCACAAATAAAGAAAGGCAGCTCAGTGCTTGCCTGGCTCTCATGAGGACCTGTGTAGGATCCCAGTACTGGCCAGCCAGACAGATAAATAATGGACTCATAAACGTTTTTAGACGGGGTCTATTATGTAGCTCTGGCTGTCCTAAAACTCACTATGTCCTCGAACTCACAGAGATCCAGTTGCCTCTGTTCATAATGCCACCGTGCCTGACCTTATAAATGTAATTTTTAAAAAATATATTGGGGCTCAGTGGTTAAGAGCACTTGACTACTCTTCCAGAGGTCCTGAGTTCAATTCCCAGGAACCACATGGTGGCTCACAACGGTCTGTAATGGGATCAGATTCTGGTGTGCATGAAGACACGCCACTCATATATAAAATACAACATATATGTATTTTATATGTATATATAATATATGTGTATATATATATGTATATATATAATAAGATGGAGCACACTAGAAGACACCTAAAACCAACTTCTGGCCTCCACGGGGGAACACACACACACACACACACACACTCCTCTTTGAGGAGTCCACACTCATGCTCTTGGGTGTATCTTTTTGTTTGTTTTGTTTTCAAGACAAGGTTTCTCTGTATAACAGCTCTGGATGTCCTGGAATTCATTTTGTAGATCATTTTGTAGGCTGGCCTCGAACTCAGAGATCTGCCTGGCTCGGCCTCCTGAGTGCTGGGATTGAAAGCGTTCACCACTACGCCTGGCCTAACTTGGATGTATCTTACTTTCTCCCCAAGGGCCTCTCTTTCACTTAACCCTGTGCTTAC